TTAATAAAGTCCGAATAATGGTTTCACTAAAAAAATAAAAAATTCAGAGTTTTAAAAAGTAGAAATTGGTGATCCAAAATATTTTATTTAAATTAGATTCGTATTTAATCAGATTCACACGATTAAAATCATTGAACTAACTTATAAGATCAAAAATTTGATTTAAATCACACCCTGAATGCAAAATCTGAAAAATTCAAACCCTGGTTTAGAAAACCCCCAATGTTGAACTTTTCATTTCATCATGAGGGTGTCTGATCCATGAAAAATTATATGTCCGGTAGAACACCAAAAAATGATCGCAATAGGTTTCGTTTGAGAGCAAATATGAAAAAAATCGAAAGAATGGATAAAAAAAAGGAAGCTCGGACAAAAAAAAGGGGAAAAGATCAATATTATAAACGGAAAAATTATCTTATTTTTAAAAAATAAGTAATTTCCAATTCTAACCAATCATTCACCAAACCAGGCGATTAAAGAAAATCACCCTTGCTCTCTTTTTTAATCCCCCCAATGATCGCAATCCAAATCAGGCGATTCAGATCCGTAAAATATAGGGTTATCAAAATCCCTAGCTTGCAGAACTGAGAATCCCAAATACCAAAATCCCACCCAAGATTGGGTACATCAAGGTTAAATGCAAAATAGATTAATACAATTATAAATCAAGTGCAAGAAATAAAGCAAACATAAAAAATCACGCCACAACAACACAGGATTTACATAGTTCACCCTGCAGGCAACATCTCTCGAAATATCGGTAAAAGATGATCAACGATTTTTCCTTCTAAACTCACTATCCCGATCGAGCAACTATCGATCAATACCTTCTTTTTCACTGCAATACTGTTATCGAAAAGATAAACTCGAGAGCAACCAAGAGACTTTGTCTCTCTCTTGGAGACCCATCTCCATATTGGAGACTCATTCGCACCCCAAATGGGTGACCCTCAAAAGGATAGGGTACTATGTATTGCTTGACTCCGTTGAGAACACTTTCTTGCTTCTCAAAAAAATCCATTTTTATTTTTATCATAATACCCTTAGAAGAAAATATGGGTATAATGATTTGGCTATTACCAAACCCAACATAAAACACTTTAGGAAATCTATTTCTATAGAAATACATTTCGAGAAAAGTATTTCCTATTAAATAGATTTTGGCTGATTGGATGCTATATGGATGCATAACACTTTCATTATTAATTTTTTAAAAAATCGTTAAATATTTTTAGGGTGCACTTTGCATACGGATGCATTGTAGGTGTAGAGGTAAGGTGCACCTTCAAATTTTATCTTGGTATATAATTTTGATGTAAAATGTTATTCGGATTATCTCATAATCTATTTTTATATCTAATTGTAAAATTTTAAATTTCAAAAATGGTCAAGTAGATCTATAAACATATGAAAATCTTGAAAATAGATGGTGTACATAATATGTTGTAAAATGTACTATTTATGAGACTTAAAATCTTTTTATTTTTCATAGTCAAACATTTCGATATTGAGATGATCAAAGGGTTTTTCAACATTAAAACCACCTTTTTTGATGGTTTTTTTAGGGGCATCCGTAGTTCTATATTATAAGGTAGCATCTTCATATAAATGTTTTTCATATTTTTATTATATTATTTATTATAATGTATTTTTTTATTGAATTTTAGATAGTTTCTCTCCCTAAATATTTGAGATAATTTCTCTCAATAAACTTTCAAGTAGTTTCTCTCTCTAAAATTCAATATAGTTTCTCTCTCTAAAATTTTAATATATTTTTTCTCCCTAAAACTTGAAATTTGATATAGTTTCTCTCTCTAAAATTTTTAAGATAGTTTCTCTCACTAAAAATGTTTAAGTACTTTCTCTCTCTCTAAAACTTAAAATTTGAAATAGTTTATCTCTAAAAATTTTAAGTACTTTCTCTCTAAAATTTGATATAGTTCGTCTCGCTAACATTTTAAGATACTTTTCTTTCTAAAACTTAAAATATGAGATAGTTTCTCTCTCTAAAAAATTCGAGATAGTTTTCCTCTCTTAAAATTTTAAGATACTCTCTTTATTAAAGTTAAAATTTAATATAGTTTCTCTCTCTAAAAATTAGAGATAGTTTCTCGCTAAAAAATTTCAAGTACTTTCTCTATCTAAAACTTAAAATTTGAGATAGTTTCTCTTTAAAATTTTGATATAGTTTCTCTCTCTAAAAAATTTGAGAATTTTCTCTCTAAAATTTTTCAAGTCCTTTCTCTCTATAAAACTTAAAATTTAAGATAGTTTCTTTAGATATAGTTTCTCTCAATAAAACGTTTGAGATATTTTCTCTCTAAAATTTTCAAGTACTTGCTCTATCTAAAACTTAAAATTTGATATAGTTTCTCTCTAAAAATTTTTATAAATTTGAGATAGTTTCTCTCTCTAAAAGTTGATATAGTTTCTCTATCTAAAATTATAAAATGTCTCTCTCTAAAACTTAAAATTTGAGATATTTCTTTTTTAAAAAACTTTAAGATAGTTTCTCTCTCTAAAAAGTTTTAGTACTTTTTCTCTCTAAAACTTAAAATTTGACACAATTTCTCTGTCTAAAAATTTTCACGTACTTTCTCTTTATAAAACTAAAATTTGAGATAGCTTCTCAATCTAAAAAATTTGATATAGTTTCTCTCCAAAATATTTCAAGTACTTTCTCTCTCTAAAAATTAAAATTTGAGATAGTTTTTCTCTCTAAATTTTTTGAGATGTTTCTCTCTTTAAAATATTCTCCAAAATATTTCAAGTACTTTCTCTAAAAATTAAAATTTGAAATAGTTTTTCTCTCTATATTTTTTGAGATGTTTCTCTCTTTAAAATATTTTTAGATACTTTTCTCGCTAAAATTTGATATAGTTTCTCTCTCTAAAATTTTAAGGTATTTTCTCTTTAAAACTTAACATTTGAAATTCTCTCTATAAAAAATTTAAGATAATTTCTCTCTAAAAAATTTCGATAGTTTATTCTATCTCTAAAATTTTAAGATACTCTCTTTAAAATGTAATATTTGAGATAATCTCTCTCCAAATTTGTGGGGGTGTTTTTGTGGAATTAATTATATTTCATAAATTGGATATCTCTAAGAAATCTAGTTGGAAATCAATTTCGGAGGGCAAAGACAATGATACATATTTTTTTTATTTTTAGGTTGAAATGAAGAAAACAGTTACAGGCAAAAATACATTTCCATTCCAAAATTTCTATCCAAACACCAAAAATGTGTCATTTCCACTAGAAATATATTTCCAAATAGCCAAACAACCCCTCAAAGCCAGAAATGTATCATTTCCACTTGAAATATATTTCTAAATATCCAAACAGCCCCTCATAGTTTGAGGATTCGACAATTTGCCATCAATGCAGCCAGGAACCCAAATGAGAGATTAGACAAGCAAAGAGAAAGAATAAAACTAAAGAAAATATCCTATTATCCCCTATTTTAAACTTCTATATCTCATCAGACTCAAGAATTGAAAACATTACTTGTAAGCAAAAAAACTATCTTTTTATCTTCCAACCCCCTGAACCCTTTTGACCATGTATTATAGACCTCAACAACTTATGAAATAACTATATCTCTCTTTCTAAAACTCATCTCTCTCACATCCTCTTTCTTTCAAAACTCCATCTCTCTCTCTCTCTAAAACTCTCTCTACTCTAAAATCCAAACTTCATCTCTCTCTAAAACTCCATCTCTCTCACACACATAAGAAGATGTGCTCGTATTCAAACTCAAGCTAAACCCAAACTCCATCTCTCAAGGTGTGCTCGTGTTCGAACTCAAGCTAAATCCCTTGACCGGTAAACTCATCGAAAAACAAAGAGAGAGATAAAATTTTAGAGACAGAGATGGAGTTTGAATAGAATGTCATTTTAATGTTTGTTTAGATAAAAAATTTATGATCAAAAAAGTCGGTTGTAAGATAGAAAAGATGGAGACCTTTTACTTACAAATAATATTTTCAATTCTTGAATCTTATGAAATGTAAAAATAAAAAAGAGAGGATAAAGAGATATTTTCCCATAAATCTAAAGATTCAACATTTTTGATAAGCTACCCAACAAACAGAAGTATACTACTTGGGTCCATTTGTTCTCCATCTTTTCAGTTAATTTATAATCCGGAAAGGACTGCGACAGGTGAGTTAATTTATATTCCTGCAAATGGGATCTCGACACGGTAATCTCACCCTCAATCCTTTCCGATCAGGTGAGTTAATTTATATTCCTGCAAATGGGATCTCGACACGGTAATCTCACCCTCAACCATCTCAAAATTAAAATTGGTACTTGAATCCTTTTCGAATGTTTTCAAGACTTACAAAAATATTTTGGAAAAAACATTTTTATATGTTGTAATGGGCACCTATCTCCCTAAGCTTGTTTTCAAAACTTTCAAAAATATTTTTGAAAGAACATTTTTATATGTTGTAATGGGTACCTATCTCGCTAAGCTTTTTAAAAGAGTTTATCATATAGGAAACATACCATACAAATCACGTGTACAGTAAGTGCCACACATGCGAGTCATCGGCCAACCACCTCATCAATGGATGACGGAAATGAGGCAGTCATGCGTATTGTTCTCAGTTTTGGTTGTTAGCTTATCAACGCTCACTTTCGCGTTATATCGATGAGAACGATTGCTGCAGGGCAAGTTCGCATCAACACATGCTATACATGTACCCTGAATAATATTCATCATGAGGATTTTTATGTGCTTCATGTTCATATCAGAGTCGGACTATTTCTAGGTCTTTTTGGGAGATCTAATGGGCTCGAAAGTCTGGGAACCATCTAAGATTGACACCAAAATAGCCACAGGATTTGCCTAAAACCCCCAAATCTAATCCAAATTCCATATCCAAAATCATCTCCTTTCACAAATCCCATCTTGTGAATCTGGTAAATTATTCAAACCATCAACTGCAATTGTTCAAATTCAAGGGTAGGAATGTATTAGTTCACTGAGAACATATCACATAAGCTTCCAAAGACTAACATTCATGGAAATTATCAAGACACCTAAATGGTGCCAGTGAATCATTTAGAGGAGTATCATGACAAAATGGCCAGTACGTACTGCACAAACAGAGAGAAATGGGAGCACAAATTCTACAGATAGAAAAACCATAAGTCAAATCCACAAGATCTGCTAAAAAAAGGTAAAAAACCACTTTACAAACTCAGTTACCAAAAAATACTCTGCATTCCTATGATTTGATGATAAACACCACAAAAATTCTACAGTACCATAGGACGAAACATGAAATGAAACTTCCTGGTGACATTGCCGGCAAGAACCCTGGTATTTTATATACAAACCTGCACGAAAAAATACCAAAATAAATTTAACCTAGAGAGAACAAACAAGAAGGTTACATACAAAAAGAACAGATGCCACTTCATCCAGAACTTGAAAGTTCAAGGTTGCCTCAAAGATCAACATGTCTTATGAAACACAAGAAAACAATGTACGATACGCACCTGTAATCTGCAGAGAATCCCCAGAACAGTTTGGTCTCTTCGAATCGATGTCATTTCAGCAAAATATTTCTAGGTGAAAAGAAAGATGAAGGTGTCTTTCTTGCCTAACCGTTAGGCCTATATACTGATATCCAGACATCTTGTCAGAAAACAGAGAACCCGGCTTTGAGTTCTTGAAAGACTTCAACTGAACTAAACCTTCCCAGAACGGGGTGCAGATCGGCCAAGCCCTAAATCAAGATCAAGCTCACAATCACTTCCCATCCTAGTAACAATGGCCAAGTTCTCTTCCCTAAGAGGAAAAAGCTCTAACATGTCATCCTCACAATAGGAAGGTGCACCATTCACTCTACACTTTGTAAACTTTTCTTGTGATTCAGAAACAGGAGTATTAGGATTTGATATCTCTGACCCACCATTCTCATCACATGCATCACACTTCTCTTCCTGCTCCATATCACATGATTTCTTCTGCGTAACTTGTCTGAATATTCCCCAGATATAATATCTCCCACTGAATCCTACGTAATGAGTTTTGGAATGTCAGAACCTGAATAAGAAATTTCTCCACCAAAAAAATAGAGGTGCAATATGATTTTCATTAAGGATTTAGAAGATGCACATGAATGATGATAACACGCACCAACAAAGGACCATATAATCATTCCATGGAATGTTAAAAATTAGAATATGCATGATAAACCTTTATGAATAAAATCTAACAAAGGACTCAATACAAACTTAATGCCCATTGGATGCATCATGCATAAAGAAAAGCCTAGACTTGGGTAATTCATCAAGAAAAGAGAAGATAAATTACACTCGTCTTTTGTATAAATAGCATAAGTACAATGAAGATAAAACTACATGTCAGCACGTAGCGTGTCAATGACAAAATATCACGGTAAATTCATGTTTCACAAAGTCCAATCCCATGACTACACATTTATCTCAACTATTTACAAGGAATTTGCTACAATAATAATTCAATACAAATTTCTCTGTGTGTGTGCGTTCATGATTGTGTGCCAAAAGAACCAAGAAAGATAACGAAACTTTCCAGAAATCAAAATACTTTGATCATGGAAGCATTAGTTTCATGATTATGACTCCATTTGCAGAAATCAAAATATATTGGTCTCTCGTTTTAACTTTTACAATTCACAGCTTCAACATAGAAATGTCAGCACACATTGACTGTAATGAATGATATCAAGGACTAAGAATTGCTGAACCCAATCTGTGATGACATCAGAGATTACTTAAACAAAAAGAGAAAAGGAACTATCACATTTGCTATGCCATCTCAGAAACTCATTTGGCATGTGCTTATCAAGGCTTATCACAAACCCAATTCTAAGAAATTTTTCTGAGAACATTCGGAAATTATGATGTAACATCACCAAGAAATGGATGCTTCAAAATAGCTGTCACACCCATGATAGTAGCATCACAAGAAAACCTAATGTTGCAAATTTCCCAAAAGAAACATAATGTGTAGACATATTCCCAGCTGTTTCTATGCATCACAGCTTTGAATGCTGAAAGATCCTCGGATGACAAAGCCCAGATGAGAAAAACACAACAATACCAGAAAGTACACTTATAAAACATTCATCTTTAGGATGGAGTAGAGAAATGACACAAAAAGCAGGCCACCTCGCTCCTACACCGCCACATCAAGTGCGAGGAGCTGCCTAGGAGCCCCTAGACCGATACAGTACTCTTAGGCACCATGGCCTAGGCGGCTAAATAGGGGATGATGTGCTGCCTAGGTGGGTGAAACACATATCATGTGATGCACCTCTGCTCGAGGGCCTCTAAACCAATTTTACGGTTCTTTAGAAGTGAGAAGAAACCAAATTAATAAATTTTGAAAATTTTTGAAATAAAAAAAAGTCAGGTTCCAGAAATATCCTCAAACCTAACTCTTTTTTGGATAGGATTCATTGTGAATTATAATGGCATGTTATAAGAAGATATCTTAGGTGATTTTAAACTCAATATTCATCCAAACCACAGAGGATCAAAGATCAAACAACAAAGGTTAGCCAAATATCTTTGTAATTAAGATGTCTTTTCCATTTGACATGCATTATTTGGGATTCTAATAGGAGATGGGATAAGGGTTGGAGCTATGAGTTTTGCTGAATTAAAAAGATAGGGAGACAGTTTTGGTTACATCTTTTATAAACAAGATTCAAACGGAAGGGTTAATAGACATAAAAACACATTACTACTATTAGGCGGATGTTGCCCCATGTAACCATAATCCAGCAGTCGTTACGAAGGAGATATTTTAGTATTTGGATGTTTGGTAAAAAGGAGGAAAGGCAGGCAAGTATTGCAAAGTTGAAGGCCAGTAATATATTAGGCGATAATGCGGAAGATGAGGATGAAGTTATGACTGAAGCAGGTTCCTATTGAAGTTGCAAGAGAGGATTCGTTTCAAGAAACCTCATAGAAAGCGGCCTATGGATGTCTTTCTGCCCCCCAACCTGAGCAGTGGTAGAGGAAAGGGAGAAGCAATTAACAACTGATAATACGTTTAAGAAGGAAGACCTAGCCCCAATAAATCAATATATTGCTTGGTGGATGTATCACGCAAGCACTACTTCCAATCCTACTCGCCCAAGCAGTTCCCATACAATGCTACATGCAATTGGCCAATTTGGGCTAAGGTTGGAGGGCCTAATTCCTCATGAGCTTAAGAAGCCATCGCAACAAGAGGTACAACGGAGAACATTATGACCCACAAGGATGTGTGGGTGCTATATGAGGCCTTAATAATGATAGATACTTGGAGTGACAAAAGGAGTAAGATTGTGATGAATTTGACGGTAAATTGTCCTGTAAGGATTTCCAAGTGTATTGGTGCACCCGCCAATATTCATAATGCATGATAATTTTTTACTTGGCTGAAAAGGGTATTGAGGAGACTGAATCGAACACTTACAGGCAATCTGCTTCTTCTTATATGTGGCCCTAATTGTTTTTAAGGTGGTTTTCTTCTTTCTTTTTCTTTAAGGTGTGGGGCACCAAGAGGGCACCCAGACCCACCTAGGTGCCTAGCAATTGTCCAGCTAGCAATTGTCCAGCTAGGAGGCCGGGCAGCTGACGTTTTCATCATTGCTCGCACTACAACATAATGTGAGAAGAAAAACCAATTAAGATCTATGTTTCATTTCAGTTGATTGGTCTAGAAGCCAGTGGTCCAAACAAGCTAAAGGGAAGAAGTCATGTGATTTTGTTTTGTCTAAGTCATAGTTGTAATCGGGTAGCATACTAACTTAAGGTTCTTTAACCCTTCGTCAAAATTTTATATTTGGTTGATAGTAGGGTGAAGCCCTCAATGGGCATTAGATATGATGCACTAGATGGAGCCAAGAGAGACATCCATGTAATTAGGCAACGATGAGAACATGCATGGCCCAAACTATAGGAGATTGCAGATAAAAAGTGGGATAAGAAGCTTCATCGGCCATTACATGCAGCTAGTTGCTATATGAACCCCATTTCCTTTATGCAGACCTAGATATTGACAGGGAGGATGCAATTATGAATGGCTTTAATGAACGTCCAGAGACGCTCAATCCTAATAACGATATCCAGTATAAGATACCTGTTGAATAGTTGATTTTAAGTTAGATGTGTATTATTATCATATGGGAATGAAATGGCAATGACACAAAAACCCAAATTCGAGGTAATCTATATCATTTGAATAATATCTTTCAATTTTCAACTTACATGGTTTCATATGACACTATAATCTTATAGTGATTTTATAGTTGATTTTTATTAGTTACAACTTGAACTTGAAACTTACAAACTTGCAACTCATAATTTTAAAATTTAAACAATGTCACAATGCAATTGTAGACCAATGGTGGAGCCAACATGGGAGTAGTGCAATTTAAAGCTTCAAAAATAGTGTAGATTGAGCAGATCTATGAAAACTTGAAAATCTTGAAAATTGACAGCCCAAAACTACGTTACAAGATACACTATTTCCAAAACTTGAAATCCATTTTTTTCTCATGTCCATGCATCTTGATGTTGAGATGATCAATTTGAGGATATTTGAGCAGCAAAACAACCTCTTCTAGTGAAATTTTTGAGGTGGGCTCTAAATTGATTGTTTAGAGGCTCGGATCTATATAACCTTTGTCCATAAAATAATATACAATAAAAATAAAAATGCATGTTTTAATTTTTTTATTTTCCAAAATGATGCTTCTTAAATCCTAGTACTGGATTTTATTTTATTTTTTACATAATGTATGTTAAGCATTATTTATAGTTGTTTTGATATAACCATTTATATTAATCTTAAAAAGATGCAGCCTCATGTCTCTTAAAGGCTCTAACCATGATATATATATATATATATATATATGTGTGTGTGTGTGTGTGTGTGTGTGTGTGTGTGTGCGCGCGCGCACATGTGTACGTGTGTGAGTGCATTTGGAGCACACATACATTTATAAACGAGTGTCTAGGTAACCTCAAAACCAAATCACCCTCATTACGCCTAGGTGGCGAGACACACACACACCCGACCCCAAAGCAGAGTATGAGAAGCCAAGGTTCAAAAATTCCACCATGCCAGCCGCCTGGGTGGCCAAGGAGGAGGGAAAAGGTCCTCGACCAAGGGCAAAAGGTGTCCTTTTTCCTTCCTTTAAAGGTGGGAAAGCAGCTTTGGGGATATTTTGGCCCACAAAAACATTATTAAGCTCTTGCTTAGTGGAAAAAAACTTATTTAAACCAAGATTTTCAAATTTTCTTGAAGATCGAAAAAATTTGAATTTTGAATTCTTACAAAATTGAAAATAGTACGAGATGGTTGCAAAAGAGGTCTTTCGGCAATGAACGGCGACCTATTTAAGCCAAGATGTATTAGGTATTAAAAAGTTAGTATATTTAAATTTTTGGCTAGGGATTTGGTTATTTTTGTGAATATTGGAGTTGATTTTTTTTTTTTTTTTCATATTTACTTTTTGTTCATGTACTTCTTCTCAAGTTTGGCTTTGTACTTTTGGCAATACTCAAGTGTGGAGTTTGGTTTGAGTTTATAGATATTTATTACTATTGTCTATTGGGTAACCAAATCTGAATAAAATGTTTATTAAACTCAATCCAAATGGCTTCTCTTTCCTACTTTGGTGTAATTGGATTGTCATTTTGTAAATTAGAATATAGCACTCTAGGTTGGTTAACTTTAGTATTGCGATATTTATTTTAATAGGGCATCCCGGCAAATAACTAGTTTTTACGTCACTAAATACTAAGTCAAAAATAATTCTTGAGTTTTGTATCAATATATTGCATTTTTAAAGTAAAACATATTTGTTCTTTTTTTTAATATATTGGAAATGATGACTTTTTTTAATGAACTCATTGCGTTTTGTGAATTTATCTAGTTATCACCGTTTCATTTTGTCAACATTATGAAAAGCATCTTCAGCTTCAGTTTAATTTGCTGCAATGCACCCTAGATTTAAAGAACATGTACTCAAGA